GCGGGAAAAACGGGTTTCGAGCTTGGCCGGCCGGCGGCTGTCTCCGGTGAGAAACGTCTGCGCCTCATAGCTTGTAGCTGCTCATGTCTCAGGCTTCGCAGCCAACAACCCACGACGGAACTTCCAACGTCGGATGAAGGCACGGCAGGCTCGGACTAAACATATGCTGGGGTTTGGTAGAGATGCACAGGCATGGCGCGAGATCTGACGGCGCATCCAGAACAGGCCATTTTCCCCCAGACGCCACGCCATGATCCGCGTCGATGCTCGGGCATGTTCGCGGCGGCTGGCCGATCTCGTCTGACTGCCGGACAACGGTTTCTACAAGCGGCAAACTCTCCGGACACTTGCCTCTGGAATTCATGAAGAGGGCGGTACGGAGGACGATGGCGCGGGGCTCTTTTGGGGAACCACTCAACCACCGTATCACTGGTGACTGGCCGAGACGACAAAATGGTGGTGGGAAGAAGGCATCTGGCTGGTCAGATTTCGCCCACACATAGTGGTTTTATCTGGATCGCTTCGTCTGTTGCTTCGTCTGGTGTGGTATCCACAGGTAGGCATGAGCCGGCGGGATGGTATGTACTGTGATCAGGAAGCATATGTTATTCATTAGGTTCGTTCCATATGCGCGCTCAGGCGAGTCGGAGCGACAAGCTGCAATAGTCGCCTAGTATGTCTGTGTCTCGATCTCTGGGTGCGACAGGTGGGTTTGGAGAATGACCCTGGCCAAACATAGGCGCCAGGCAGAGAGGCCAATGGAGAAGGAGTCGCCATCTAGCCGTGGGGTCACTGCCAGTCAGTCACAGGTGTGCGGTCGTGTCACGTCTCTGGCCCGTCTGCGTGGAGGGGCGATGTATCGCTGCAAGAGCCAAAGACGCGAAGTGTGGCCCAGATGTGGGGGTAGACTGAGTCGAAGGCAGTACGTAATTCGGCATCGGAAAAGAACGGCCAGTGCCTTTGAAGACCGGATTAGAGGGAAAGGACATATCCTACTCAGGGCCTGCAAGAGGGTCTAAAGAGGCCAGCACTGAAGTGAGTACGCGTCCGTCGATGGTAAGGACAGGGTGAGGCAGTCTCGAGAATGCGGTCAAAAACTAGCGGTGGTCAGCGTACTGATCTTAGGAATGTCCTTGGAGGCAACGGTTGGGGTTCAGGTTCCAAAGAGTCAGAAGGAACCAGCCAGACGTCACAGGAGGCTGTCTAGATTCTGCAGTCTGCAGCTTGGTGGGCATCCAGCGTCCAGGTCCCAGCGGCGATGCCCCAATACCCGTCGTATCCCCTCCTTCGGAAACATGGCGACTCGGCAGGCTATGGGATGGGACGGACGCTTGGATGATGTCGGTGGATGTCGCCAGCGCGTCGTGGTGGATGGATCGGACGGGCCCAGTGAAGAGAAAGTGTGGGTGGATGGGTGGATGAATGCCGCAGGACACGGCGAAAGGGAGTCCAGGTTGACTACCTACTCGGGTATGGACTGGATGGTATTCTCGGGTGCGAGAGAGGCGGCGGGATTGAGCCATACCCGGTGGTTCTTGGTCGGCAGTCGGCGGTGTTTGTGGTATTGAAGAAATGAGGTTGGAACCTTGGCATTCCGTATACCTCAAGGGCATGGCGAGAGTCTGTCTGAGTGAGGAGTAGCTGCTCTGGTGCAGAGTGAAAGCGAGGCATAATGACTAAGTGCAAAGTCGGTTATGCAGTGTGCGTGCGAGATGCCTCGTCAGGCTGCGGAATACCTAAGATATCCGTACGAATACCTTACTCTGTAAGGTACTCCTGGCGTATTCCGTACCTACAGTGCTACACAAGAACAAGAACAAGAACAAGAAGGCACCATCATGCAGAACTGCTGAATAGGTAGACGTGGTAGACTGAGGTGCCTGGTGAATGCTGCAGGCGAGTTTCGGCAGGCGGGCGGGTGGGAATCCATGTGAAGAGATTTTCCCACCTTCCCTGTCTTGACACTTCCTGCCTGGTGGTTCAGACGATTTCGGAGGGACATCCCAGAGTGACTTCCTGCCTGCCCAGTTCCCACCCAAGGTAGCACGGTAGGTATCTTCTCTGGTTCGGCGAGTGCTCCTGCCTCCTCCTCCTGCTGGCTACTGCTGCTCCTGCTCGGGGTTGCTTGTTGTCGGGTCCCAGTTTGGCCCGACGGCACTTTCCCATTCGCGGCAAACTGCAGTCGGGTAAGGTACGACTCGCAAGTCTGCACCTGCGTGCCTGCTCAGATTCGTGGTGACCTCGGAGAAGTGAGGTAACGTACCCAAGTTAAGGTACATGTGCATCCAGCGTGCCATGGAACGCCCACCTCATGCTCATGCCCATGCCGCATGTCGAATTTTTCTTCAGGTGCCGTCCTCCCCTGCCTGCCTGTCACTGTCTGCCTGCCTACTGCCCCCTCCCTGCGTCCGTCGTTTCTTGTCATTGTCACCACCTAAGGCAGGGTATTTTACTGTGTACGGATACATGCCAGGTAGTCGACGGATACCCGTGCTCAATCTACCACTCACAGATGCAGGAAAAGGCTGTGGATGATCGCCAGTGGGTGCGTGGTGGGTTTGACGCTAAATATGCCATGGATTTCGCGGATTCCTCAACCATGGGGTGGCTCTTGAGTCCCGTCCTGGCAGGGAAAAAGCCTCGTCAGGACCAGGGCTTAGGTTCATCGAGGGTCGGACGGGGGCCATCGTGGCATCGTCACTGGGCCTAATACAGCAGGTACGTACGCCTTACCTAATTAGACCCGGATCTTATCAGATTTAGATAATCAGATCATCAGATAACTCGGGCAAAATGATGCCAACCGCGCCAAAAATTCCCGCAAAACCAGCAAAACCGCACAACCATCTACAATTAGCACACCCACCCAATGTGCCAATCTTGAATGAGGTGGTCCCGTCCCAGGCTAAAAACCCCACTGCCGCAAACTCCGATGAGGCGACATATCCTCGGTTGACTGCTCTCAGCCATTCGTTTTTTTTTTTTCTTCCCCTTCCTCTCGATTTTTTTTTTTTTTTTTTGGGCTTCCTACTCTCGGTGCGTCTGATTAGCATATCGAGCCACAAATCTAATACACTTCCCCAGCCACTGCAAAGCCATGAATCACCTCAACGCTCGCCAATGGATCCGGGGGGCTCTTGCGAGAAACCTCCAGTGTTTCCTCATATCCCCATCGCCCACGTTGTCGCCTGCAAATCTGGCTGTCCAGAGCTGCCCAGTCTCCGCCTCGACTCCGGTCTCCGGCCCGCACTCTTCGTGATACGCCGGAACAGGATGTTGCTTTCCCGCTTCGCTTACCCGTACTTGACATTGGGCACTACATCCTGAAAGAGGCAAATTGATAGTCCTCTAGCAAACTAGCTAGGTACCACCATACTGTCGGTGGCTGTCTCCCTCAAGAACAGAGTCTTTACATTAAGGTAAGGTAGTGGCTGTAAGTCACTGCGTGCTGTGTAGACTGTAGCATGGATAGCTCCAAGAGAGAGGTACGTACTGCAACGGATTCTTTCCACATCTTGTCAGATTAGATCCATCACCAAGTGCGTCTTGGAAGGGAGGCAAAGTACCTCATTCTGCATAATGCCAGGGCTCACACTACTGCGCGTGTGAGTGTTCATTCACTCACGCTCTCCTCTGCGCTAAGGCAAGGTCCTCTCCCGATACTACGCAATGGGCTTATGGATGCATTCTAATAGTCTCGTACTCTGTACAAGTACCTACGCATCTCCAGTCCTCGGGGTTGATGCCGACACCCCCCCGAGGCCCAGCAATGGCACACCTTGGAACATCAATCCCGAGGTCTTCTCGTGAACCCCCCGGCCTCACTGCCCGCTCTCGGAGCAAAGCTTTGCACCAACTCAATCGCCCGACTCATGTTTTCTTGGTGATCCTGCCACCTCCACAGCGCGCATTGGATCGCATGTGCCCCGGTTTTTCCACATTCCACAACCCGTCAAGTCTCTGAGTACCATCTGCGACGCAACCTGCATCTTGGCTCCCTTCTTTTTGAGCTTCGAGACTTGTTCGACAGACGCGCCGTAGCCCTGTGGTACAATCAAGTGAATGAACAAGACGCTGGCTCGCAAAAGGATACCTTGACTAGGGAAGAACTTTTGACAACGGCATGCCGTTCTTGCCTAGGATAGTCCTCCAACCTTTCACAGTTTCGCGCGTAAGGTGACGTCCGGGGCACCTAAAGTTGATTGTCCTTTCTTTTATGTTCCATTCCCAAAAAAGAGAAGCCTCCACCGGTGCATGAGTTTCCATTATTTTACCTTACCTCAGTGCAAGAAGGATAGAACAGACCAGGCAGGCAAGGTATCTAAGGTAAGGTATCCGTACTCAGTAGATACTTCCAAACAAAACAACGAAAAGTTCCAGGTTCTGCGTGTACGAATACGTAGGCACATGTACCTGAGGCATGCAGCTAGAAAAGACACAGGTACCGTGGAGGTACGTAAGGAAGGTTCGCGACGTCAGGAAGGCGGCGTAGGCCTGTTTTTAGCCTCCTTCCCTCCTACCTGGGACGGCCTTGAACCGAAGGAAGGAAGGAGGGACCTGAGAGATTTGATCTTATCAGATCCGAAGATAACCCCGAAATCGCATCATGACCCCTCCCCCGACTCCACTTGGTCGTGCAAACTGTTCATCATCGATTTTTTTCTCTCCTCTGGACCTGTCATCGTCTCACCCCTCCCTCCCTGTTCACTAACGCATTTTTTTTTTGTATGTACTTCGTCTCCTTCGCTTCCCACATCTTCGTCCCTCCTGCATCTAGGTACCCCGTCCGATTTCTGCATCGCGACCAATTTGGAGTGGGTCTTACTGGCACCATCGATCTGCATCATCTGGGAAAGCGTCGCCGACAAGTTTCTCGTAAACCGACGGCTTTGGCCTGGCCTACTACTGCACGGAGCATGGCTACTATGCCCGTGAAGTTTCTTCAAGCCACGCCTCGATGTCATCGCCCTTGTCCGGCGGCTTCTAGTCTCAACGGCCAGTGCCCGAGCAACCCAAGTACTCTACCGACGTGAAGCATTACAGTACACGAAAGAGACTCGAGACAATATCATAGCAAGAGAGATCCGAAATAGTATGAGTAGAACAGACAAGCTCCCAGCGAGGCGAGGACTCGAAAAAGTCCCAGATACCAGGAATTACGGTTGAAATCGGACTGAAGAAAAGTATCGATCGATACCTTGATTGCCTCAGACAAGCATCAGCTGAGCTTTTCCAGGGTCCAGTCAACGTCGTTGTCATCCCCGCGTTGGGAAAACTGTTCGTTCGTCGGGTCGTCTACGGCTCATTGTCTCTAGGCGCTCGCTTTAACGCTCAACCCGTCGTCAGGTCTTCAATCGCTTCGGTATTTTCATTCTAGCTTCTGTGCCTCCGGTCCATCCCTCCCGTCCGCTCCACTCCTGTGGCCCGGCACATGCAAACGAGCCAGCGACGCCAAGGCGTGCGACCGCCGCTCGCCGCCGCTGATGCTGGACACCATCTCAGACGGATTGGTTCAACGATTATGGGGTCCTGTTCTTCATTGCTTTTTCCGTCCTCGTGCAATCGACAATGCAGTGCTGCTCTCGACCTTACCTTAATCTTCTCCGTCAACCGAAGCGCATTTCCCACTCTTGTCTGTGTGTACATACAACCCTTCATTGCATCCATCCGTCATCCACTCACCCACTCAAGAAGTTCCTCCATTCACCAAAGGACCACTTACACCACCTATGTATAGACGGACACAAAGTACCATGGACATGAACTTGGCATGGGTTCCAGTCTGCGAGACCCAGACCAAGACCCAGGACCCAGACCCTCCCAGGGCATCCCTTACTAGCGAGCCCATCTCTGGAGTCAGCCCGTTGCGACTCTGTCCCTGGCCCCGACCCCTGGATGTGGAAAGGCGTCCGTTGTGGATGGCTTCTTGCTTTGAGCCGAGCTGGCGCTTCACTCTTTTTGCGCCCACGAGGTACGCCAATACCTATGACAACCACCTACCTATACTACTCCGTACCGTCACTACCCACGGCATTCTGCGCAGCTCTTCTCCCAAGAGAGATGGGCCAGGGTCCTGTCCTGTCCTTCATAGGCCTTCTCCGGCAGAATGACAGGATCGCGGCATCGACGTTGCCCCATTCGCGCGAAGAACCGAATGTTGCAATTTGAGTAGGCTCCTCCAAATACGTCTAGTCCCTAGCCTCTGGGGCGTGTAACCAAACGACAATGTACAGAGTACGGATACACCCTACCCAGTCCCGGTCCCAATCTCCATCTGCTCGTTCGTGAGCTCCGAGGCGAGGGGTCCAGCGGTCCAGCTTCGAACTTGTCGGTCGATCACGCCGTCTCAATGGGACGCGGGCATCCATCGACGTCTGCCCGTTTTACATATTAGCCCCTCGGTGCCCCTCCTCTCCTTCCAGTGCGTCTCTTGATTCTTCTTCACCAGCTCCCATTTCTCTCCCCAAGCCTTCTCTCAACCGCCCATTCAACCGGTGGCCCAGCTTCATTATACCCAAAGGCTTCAACCAGATACGCCGCCACTCTTTGAGAGTCGATGACGAACAGTGTGGCTTGAGACTACTTTGGATCAATCACAAGGAAAAAGCCAGCATTAGACGAAAAAAAAGTTCTACCCACCACACCCAAAAAATACCCCGCGCAGTTTCGCACCCGCATCCCACTTTTACACCGGGCTTTTATTCAACCCGTCTCAAAATCGAAAAGTAACGCCCTCAAGGTCAGTTGATGTGCTCCCACTCTTCCGAAAGAGTGAGATTTCAAAGGTCATTAAGCTGATGGTTTTAAAGCCCCTGCTCTTCCCGCTCAGTTGCATTGTCACTGGCACATTGATCGACCCATCCGCTCGTCAAATAATACCCCCAGCCGCTGTTTGCGACTTGTCTATATACCCCAGCTCACGCACACTTACACCAAACCACGTAATTTGAACCCCTACCACCACCACCACTACCTATCACCATGTCTCCTCACTGCGACTCGCCGACCAACGGCTCCGACGCCGGCAGCGGCTTTTCTTCCTACAATGGCAACGGCAATGGCTACGCCAACGGCAACGGAGCCGCCCACCAGAACGGCAACGGTGTGAATGGCCACCAGAACGGTGCCTCCCGCATCCAAAAGTCCCAGTACCTCCAGCCCACCGACCACAGCGATATCCACGACCTCATCTGCGTTGGCTTCGGCCCCGCCAGTTTGTCTGTTGCCGTCTCCATGCACGACTTCCAGGAGGCTGGCCGCCAGCTCACTCCCGGCTCAGGTGCCGCCAAGGTGCTCTTCCTCGAGAAGCAGCCGGCCTTCGCATGGCACCCGGGCATGCTTCTTTCCGGCGCCCGCATGCAAATCTCCTTCATCAAGGACATGGCCTCCCTGCGCAACCCTCGTTCCCAGTTCACCTTCCTCAACTACCTCCACAGCAACGACCGCCTAGTTGAGTTCACCAACCTGGACACTTTCTTGCCCGCCCGCGCTGAGTACGAGGACTACCTGCGCTGGTGTGCTCGCCACTTTGACGATGTTGTTGAGTACGGCCGTGAGGTTGTCTCCGTCTCCCCCGACCCCCAGACTGCTGGCAGCATCAAGACCTGGACCGTCAAGTCCCGCAACATCAAGACCGGCCAGGTCAGCTCCTACCAGACCCGCAACGTCCTGATCGCCAACGGCGGCCAGCCGCGCATCCCCAAGGTCATGCCCGCCAACCACCCGAAGATCATCCACTCCTCCCAGTACGCCCAGCTCGTGCCGCAGCTTCTCAAGGACAACTCGAGACCCTACAGAGTCGCCGTCATCGGTGCCGGCCAGTCTGCTGCCGAGATCTTCCGCGACGTCCAGCGCGCGTACCCTAACGCCAAGACGTGGATGGTGATGCGCTCAGAGTTCCTCAAGCCCGCTGACGACTCGCCGTTTGTCAACTCCATCTTCAACCCCTCTTACGTCGATGAGCTGTACCCCAAGTCTCAAAGCTACCGCCGTTCTCTCATCAAGGAGGCCAAGGCGACCAACTACGGCGTCGTGAGACTCCAGCTCATTGAGGCCCTGTACGAGATGCTGTACCACCAAAAGCGCACCCTCGGCTACGACGAGCGCAAGTGGCCCCACCGCATGCTCTTCGGCCGTGACATCACTCAGGTCACCGAGAGCAAGGAGACCGACCGCCTGCAGATCCACGTCCGCCGCCTCGAGGACGCCGCCGGCGACAGCCTTGAGGATGGCTTCGTCAACCAGTTACCCGGTGACGAGGTCCTCGACGTCGACCTGATTGTTGCGGCGACTGGCTACCAGCGCAACGCCCACATCGACATGCTTCGCGACAGCTGGAACCTGCTTCCTGAGATCACCCCCGCCGGCAATGCCAGCGAGCGCGAGCTTGTTGATGGATGGGAAATTGCCGGCCCTGACGCGACGTCGGGATCGAGGAAGCTCGAGGTCGGACGCGACTACCGTGTGCGATATGCCCCTGGCGCTGTGGCGCCTGATGCTGGTGTTTTCTTGCAGGGATGCTGCGAAGCGACCCACGGAGTAAGTTGAACCCCGCCAATTCATTTTTCCCTCATCGCCCCACTACAGCACATTATGCACACCACTTGGGACATTGTAACTGACGAGCTTCCTCCTAACAGCTGAGTGATACCCTGTTGTCAATTCTTGCCGTGAGATCGGCCGAGGTTGTCGACTCCATCTTCCCCTCTGCTCCGAGGGCCAAGACCGTTTCCAACTAGACGTGTTTTTTTTTTTTACGACTTTATTCTTATTAGAGAGAGGGATGGGAAAGACATTTCATGAGTCTCTTTTGGATTGGTCATTGACATGGGACATGTGTGTACCTGATGACATCTCTTTGTGTATGTGCCCTTGGGCGGGGTTCTTTCTCAACATCTCTTCGGAACTTGTGTTGAAGAACTAAAAAAAGACATGGCGCGGAGTTTATCTGTTTTTTTTCCAAACGAATTCCATTATTCCTACTTCAATAAATCTTCAGCTCTTTTTTTCTCTCTCGAGACATCACTGGTCACCATCGAGCGAAATTACTCTTACATTTCTGAAATCCTTAGGCTCTTGTTTATATGATGGTTTATATGGAATAGTTATTGCTGTACAATTGTGCGTCATTGTGTTCAACCCAAGCCACGAGTTCTTCATATATCGCGCCACTCTCCGTTGTCATGGGATATAATACATGGCTTGGGCCGGGCGGGAAGGTTTGATGTTGAGACTGCTGAGAATATGAGGTGGATGGCGTGTTGATGCTGCTGCTGACGTTCGTTATGTCGTCCGACGTTAGGCCAGGGGTAGAAGGACCTCCGCTGACACCACCAGCGCGGGCGGTATAGACAGCTTGGCTGTCCAGTCGCAACCGCTGAACTATAGACTGGAGGTCTTTCAGGACGGTAGCGCAGTCCCGAGCGTAGTTGCTCTCTGTCTTGGCCTCTTCTTCAAAGACGCCGATGGCAAAGTTGACGTTAATATCATCGGGCTCCGCGGCTGGCAAGACGAGAAGCTCTTCCAGCATGAGAATAATGGCGGCGTTGAATATGTAGTGCAACCCCGCTTGCAAAAACTTGCGAGTGCCACCGTTGAGACGCATCAGCCAACGAGCGAGGTACAAGTTTCCATGCGCCGCCTTTGAGCAGGAGCTTATGCGGTCTGCGTGGTGCGAGAATTCCCAACGGCGGTCTGAGGTGATGTAGCGTTCGGCAAAGGTCTTTTTGACAGCAGCGAAGAAGATGGGGCGGACGACAAGGATGAGAAGCTGCAGATCCGGGAAGACTTTGAGTTAGTACGGGGTTGCCGATTGTCCTCTCTATTCCCAGACTGGGAGAGGGGTGTCATGAAGTAGAGGGAGGGGGTAACGTATAACCCCATCCTTATTCGGAAGCGCAACGCAAGGAGGGGAAGGAAGGCGGTAGGGCAGAACAAGCTTACCTGGTTGTATGCCATATGCAGGAGACAGCATGAGGGATCGCTACTTGGATGAGACGTAGACATTTGCAGGGCAGGCGGCAGTGATGACTGCCAGCTCCCGAGCAACTGCAGCGCTCGGTCGATGTGCCGCGCCGCACCTCCGGGACCACGATCCCAGGGGGCGACTCTATACGTGTTGCAGACAATGTGGCCCGAAATGCGGGCCAGCTCGACGTGGGCTCGAAGGCCGGCTGCAGGGGGTAAAGACCCTGGCTTCTCACTACATGGGGGTCGACCATTGTGTTAGATGAGTGCCTTGTTGCTTAGATAGGAGTCCATCGGCGGAGGTCTCCGTCAAGTAGGATGCCAGAGGGTTGGGACAGGGAAAGGGAACTTACAGATCATCGCAAGGCAGTGGTAGCCGGATAGCATCGTCCATGATGATAGGAGGACGGCCCATGAGACAGCTCAACCAGCGATCGAGAATATAAAGAGTCCAGAAAACGCGTTTCCCACGCTCGTCGACCCAGCCACGATGGGCGCCGTGCATAATGGATATATGCATGGCATTGCTTACGTAGACGTAGGCTGCATCGCGGCGGTTCATCTCGATAAGGTAGAAGCCCATCAGTGCTAGAACAGCAACGTCGCTGATGGTATACCGGGTAATATCGAGAGGGTTACCTAGGAGAAGGCGGGCGCGGGCGAAGTAACTCTGGCTCAAATCTTTTGGGACCGGCATCGAACTCGCCGTGGTATTCGCCTGACAGGCGACGGCAAAGGCGGTATGGTAGAATGCAAGATGACGATAGTTGTCGGAGACGACCTGTTGAGAGCTCCCGGACGGAAACACCTCGGGCTTCGCGTCGCCAGACACGGGGGGCGCTTGCGGTGGTTGGCTAAGATCGCCCCACCAGTAGATGCCGCCGCACGGGAAGTCGCCGTTGCCGTCTTGGATGAAGTATCGGAGGCTGGCGAGCATAGCAGCCATTTCTTCCCGAGAAGGCAGTGAGAGAGGGTCCGCGTTCGACTCAACCTCTATGGGACGAGAGTCGTATGTCTGATAACTCCCAAGGGAAGAAAGAAATGTCAAACCGCTATTTGGCGTAGGTGACAGCCACTGCGGGTTGAAAGCAAGTGGCAAGACGGTGGACATGAACTCCTTGAGGTAGTCAAGGAATGTTGCGCCAGAGGTCTCGCCAAGAAAACGGGTTCTTCCATCCTGGTCGTGCAGTGGGCGTCCATCGGCGGTCTCAGCGACAATCTCGTTACTCGCTTCCCCGTAAGAATCATGGGGCTCTGGGGGTGTAATGGACGGAGCCGAGCCGGCACGAGATCCCTTCACGTCGACATCCTGTTGCAACAGTTGCCGTCTCGCGATGTCGTCGGGTACGGCAATCTGCAGAGCCCGTTCTGCAATCTCAAGCTTCCTCCTCAGATCATCTAGATCGTTCCGAGCCACGGAGACTTTCTCGATCACGGTGGGATACTGGCATTCTCGTGATGAGCTGCGGCATTGGCGGCACGGTCTCTCACCGGAGCATTTGATGCGGCGGACATTGCAGCTGTTGCACCTGTGGAAGAAGTTCAGTACGTTGAGGAGTGTACGATGAAAAATATGAGACCACGATGAGAGTATCATGTGCTAGGTAAGAGATGCTGCTTCACAGAAGGAACGGGGTTGGTGGGAAAGAAGGACGAATGTATACAGCGAATCAAGGGTTGTAACAAAGCAGTAGAAGATGAAGATTTTGGTAATTCCACAAGCGACTTACGCTGTTGCAACACGCTTCCGTTGCTCTGGGGCTACCTTGTGCCGTCGCGGGTTGACAGGCAAACGAGATGCACGGCTGGAGTTTTCGATTTGTTCTGGCTGCTGCTGCTGCATCCTGGTTTCGCAGGAGAGTGAGGCCGCATGTCACCGCTCCGCCGGACCTCAAGTACGGAGTTGGATATGAGAGGCGAAATGTGCGAAGGGCGGTATTGCTGGCTTGTGAGGTTTTGGTGAGGTGTGGCCGTCGGTCAAGGATGGAAGGTAGCCTTGTCGTCGGTGACGGTGACGGTGATGGTGACGGTGACGGACGCGGCGATGGATCTGGACCGGTTGGTGGCTCAATGTACCCCGGAAATCGGTAGCCAGGCAGCGGCGGATATGTCCCGTCCGAGTTCGAGACTTCCGGTGGGATTGGGGAGTGGGCGCCAGGGCCTTGGAGGCGAAGGGAATCAAGGGAGTGACGCTTGAGGGGTTGAGACTTATTGGTCTATGGCACAGAGTACAGCTATGCGTACTAGATGGTTTGATAGTGGGCGGCTGTATCCGAAGTGCGTTTGCGGGTGAAGGTCAAGGCACTATGTCGACATTCTTTGGTCCTTGGGGATTCTTTCCAGGCGGACGTTGGCAATCAGAAGCTGTTGAACCCGATTGATGTGTGGAACGTTAGATTTACTCGCTGGGAAGATGTCCCGGAAGGATGTTGACATGGACATGGCGTGGAGAATGGAGGATTTTGAACAGCCGTTGTGGTCGCGAGACGAGGAAAAGGGTCCAGTGGTGGTCCGGGAAGGGAGGAGGAGCCTGAGGAGGTGGAGGGGAGGGGAGGGTGGCAGTGGTGGTAGCATTTTGGGGGCCGGAAGTGGCTCCGTGTTAGTCATTTACATGTGACGATGCCCACTTCCTTAACAGCATCGTTCCCTGCGCGACCTTCTATGGACCTTGGAGCTTCCCAAAGCCCCAAGGATGTGCTGAGCGGGTGCGTGCCTACCCGACCAGGTCATGGAAGGTCAAGCAAACACCGACCAAACCAACCTGGCGGGTAATTAATGAATTATTAAGGTAAGGTGCCATAATTAAGGTACCTAGTTGCCTTCCTTCCTGGGCGCCGCACACTTCACAGTTCACTCGCCCACTCACTCATTCACTCACTTACCTTACTCATTCACTCGCTCGCACACTTACTCACCCTCACTTTCACTCCCATGCCCATGCTCACTCGTTCTCACACTCATACGCAATCCACGCGTCCATCATCGAACTGAAGCAGAAAAACTGCGAGGAAAGGCATACTCTGCCGAACCCCCCCCCCCCCCCTTCATGAGCGCTGCTGTGAGGTGCGCTTGACGAACCTGCAAGTCTCCCTGCTTAAATCACACATCTGGGTAGTCACAAGTGATTGTCATGCTGCACACGCGCGCGTTGACGGAGCATCTCTTCCCCTCCTCTTTTCTCCTCTTGGGCTCCTCCTCCTCCCCGGTCATGTTTCGACCCCCAAGCATTCGGGGACCGTTGATCATTGATTCGAACCCCTGACATCCGGCCTGGGCTGTGTGCCTAACGTACCCGGGGCCTTAGCTTGTCCTGCCCCGAGACGAGAGAAGAGCGCGAGAAGGGCACTTCATGTCCAAGCCTTGCTTTGCCTTGCTAACGCAGCACGCAGATTGCTAATCACTCCCGTGTAGCTAAGCCTGCTTAAAGGCAGATTTTGCGCAGTAACAATCCCAACCATTCACTGTTCAATACGGTGTACCCCGAATCCAGCCGCCAGTAAACATGGATCGGAAGCCCCAAAAACGGCTTAGGAAGGCGCCACTAACGTCCCGTCTTACGTTGCCATCGACTCGTTTCACGGCCCACGCGGGAGACGGGAGGCGGGAGGCGGGATGAGCTTGGGGCACATCTTCGCCGATGGCCAAATCAACTCCCTTCAGTTGCTCATCTCGATTCTCATCCCAGGCGTGCCAGGTTATTCACTATTCATCCAAGATATTCATTTTAATCAACTCATATCTCATCTACATACCCGTCGTATCCACGTCCCATACCCTGCCTCACAAAAACATGCACTTGCAGATACTCAGCGGCTACCATACCCCGACAAACTTGCCAGGAATCCTCGCTTAGGCACGGATAGACCACTTAATTGACCTGTCAGAGAGGTCCAGCCTGCATAATCGCGACCTCGGCCGATTGCTTTCGGATCGGTGGAGAAATATGCCCACCAAGCCCCCGGCACACCGCGATGATTGTCGCTGCAACTTTTTCATACCGGCCAGTCTCACTTATTGGGTCTCACACGGCTCGCGGTGAAGGGAAAGAAATATCTATGTATGCACAAATTGGCATGCAGCCTCACAGTCCACTACGAGCTAGGCGCTCACTGCCCTCCTAATTTGGTCCACGCGCCGGGGTATTCACTCATTGCGGCGGAACGGCTCGTCTTGGCGCTCCATCCCTGTGTTCCTCTTCTGGCCCTCGCCCGGAGAAGTTTGCGTCTTCCATACCTCAATATTTCACCAAAAACCTGGGGGTCTTTCCTACGCCAGCCACTCATCCCATTTCCTTGCCTCTTAGGCTCATGCTTTTGAGCCACATGATTCCAATCGTAGGTTAGAGTCTGGTGATGGCGATTTAAACTTCATTAGACTCATCCCACACAACCCACAGGTCAACGACGACTTCCAACCGCCGTGGAGGTCGTTGAGAATGCCTCAACGAATCCGTATAGCAGATCTTCCATTTTGTTAAGCGCCCCCACGGTCTGGTCAAGGACCAACGGAATGGCTTGTTGGTTTGCAATCTTCTCTTGTGGTACATTTCCCGCCGGCTACCCTGCAGCGTTTACAAATACCAATTCGACTGACGGCAGCCGAAGCTTTCGTCGCGCGTCGCCCCCAGATGATTGTATCTGTCCTCAGGCAAGCGCAAGTCAGACGCCACTTCACGTTGCTATTCTATCTCATGAGAGCTGATGAGTGCTAGCTTATGTCCGGCCAGCGTGGTGAGAGCTCATCTACTCGTATCGCCGGTCGTGGAATTTTTTCCCGTGATTGTTGATGATCCTGGTTCGGCTTCGTCCGACACCAGCATGCTTGTACGGAGTACATTCTTCACAAGATAAGTATGTAATTACGTTGTCCAGGGTCCCAGTAGCGCCTTGATAAACATAAACTTTGGAAAAGTCGGTCATGTGCGGAGGGAGCTCCGGTCCGCGAACCCTTCAGCATAAAGCCGACCTCTTTCCAGGGAAGGGGTGTCACAGACATGAATATGAAGAACTTCTCTCGTACATTACGTACGGATAACTCGATCTAGTTAATGAGCTTCTGCCAGCGCTGTTTCTTTTGACGGCTGCCTCACTCATTGCACGTTACTATGGTTGCGAATCGGCCGATACATCAGATTCAAGACAACCGGCTCGTCAGTCAGAACAGCGATGTCCACTATTTGCAATTGCGGCAGCCTTGCTTTGCCGTGAGCACCGCTAGATGCAATCTATGTGATCCCCGGTCTTCGTTCAGTTCGCATCTTAGGCTCATTGAGACAGCGACTGTATTGTTGGAGCCACAACCGATACGAACCTAACTGCCACGTTGCTCAGTAATGAGCGTTTGGGGCCCTCTGCCAATGCATCGAGGCCGGCACCCGATGCAAATACCTTCCCAGGCACCGGCTGCTTGCTATCTACTTGGCATGCGGCTCTTGAGGCTGAACGTCACATGCAGCTGGGCGCGCCAGGACTGATGCTCACATGAGCAAAGCCAGAAGTGGCGGTCACGGCCCGGTCGGATAAGAGGCCCTTCACGGCTTCCCTCGATCGTCAGCTGTTCTCTCACAGTTTTGCATTGAGTTCACTACAAGAACACCATTTAGATGGTCTGGTATTTGGTGGTCATTGGGTTACCTATGGGTTACCTATGGGTTACCTATGGGTTACCTATGGGTCGCAAGGCATTGTTTTCTCCGAGGCTGGTGAAATCGGCCGTCTCATGTCTTGAGCGAAAGATCTCGAGGGTCATCGGCCACATCTCAGAGCCCCATTTCGTTGGGTCTCAAAGCATTGCCAATTTTTCCAAACAGTACCAAATCAGAAATGAGGGGTCTATCGATGGGGGATGTACCCTTCCGAGCTCACCTTGAAGTGAACGTCAACGAGTCTGCGCCCGTCAGCGACTTGGATTCGTGATGACCACCTTCTGACAATTCTGAGTTCATCTAAAGGGTTAGAAGATGCATTTGGCTCACTTTCATACTTTCTGGCGACAATCGCCGAAGCCTCATACGGCCTACCTGTCTTGCCCGCCGTGCCCTCCTCTCGTCGCTAAACCCAAGCTTCACGATCTAGCTGACGAATGTGTCTAGTTAGATAATGTCACAAGAATGAGATGGTTCCATAGATAGCCATTCTTGATACCAAGGATCGAGACAAAGTCTATGAACTTGAGTACCGTACGGGCCCTCGTAGACGTCTTAATGAAGTCAGTGAGATGTCGCTTGAGTGGGTTAGGGCTCCATAATCCCCCCTGAGCATCGCAAATAACACACAGCCAATTAAGTTACGATGACCACTATTTGGGTCTCTATGTCTTACGCATGTCTATGCTCTAGAAACAACACCATTCACTGTCGATGCTGGAAGACTAAGGGTCAACTCTCGCTCAGCCGGCGCCCCGCGGAAAAAAGGGTGAGACTGAACTGCCGGCTGTCACCAGCTGTAGCTCATGCATGTCCTGTTTTCCTACTTGTGATGACCTCATTCTCTTGGTCACGTCCTACCAGTGCAAGCTTCACATGAGGTCCGCAACTGCCGCAGAAGGCCACTTGTGAAGCAGATTTTCTCCAACACGCCAGACTTTATCTGATGGGACCATCAAAAAAGACAATGGTTCGCCGCGCAGTCGTCTCATCCTTTATCTTCAAGTTCCCGCCCAATCGGGGGCCGCAGGTCGCTCTGTTCCGGAGAAGTGACAGCGTGCGGACTTATCCGTGAGCTCATGCCCCAACCTTCACAAATACAGGTTGCGATGTTTACGTATGCGACTGACTAGAATTCTGAAGCAATCATCTTGCGCCGGTATCGGGCAGCATAGAGCAGGACGACCCCTCACCCCTGGATGCTGCCTGGAGAGAGATCCGCGAAGAGACAACGCTCACACCTGCGACTTTAACGTTACTCCGCCAGGGGAAGGACTACGTCTTCGCCGATGAGAGGATTGGCCGCGAGTGGACTATCCATCCCTTCGCCTTCCGCCTCAAGTCCCACGAGGATGAGTCCCGCATTCAGATCGATTGGGAGCATAAGGGGTTCCAGTGGTTCGACCCCCACGAGGTCCGCGACGTCGATGAATTTGGTGGCGTGCCACGACTTGCCGAGAGTCTTCGACGCATCTGGTTCGAGATTGAACTCGGCGAGAGGAGAGGAAAGTTTCTAAGTGACGGGCTGCTCGCGTTGCAGAAGGATCACCAAAGCGGAGCGCGGCAGCTGGCGGGCAAGGCGCTTCAGGTTCTTCTTTCCGTCATTGGGGAGAAGGCCAGCGCAGAGAAAGATGGCTCTGTGGAAAAGTGGTGGCGCAATGCTCGGCTCGCCGCTTGGCATCTCTGGAAGAATGGCAGAGAGAGCATGGGAGCCGCAATTCTGAACAATATTGTGCGATCGCTGTCCGTCATAGAGAAGGAGGTACAGCAGGTCAAGGATGCAAACGTCTCCCAGGCCTTCCTTGACTCTGTGACAAAAAAGGTAGGCAATTTTGCAACATCGAGGGACTCTTCTATCGATGGCATCTGGAAGTCCTTTGAGGCTTTCTTACGAACACATCACGGCTCCGGTCAGCCCATCCGGATTCTCACGTTATCGTCGAGTTCCACCATCCTCGAGTGTCTGAAGAGGGCTATCGCAGGCCTGGACTCATCATTCGATATCCGCGTACTCGAGTCTCGTCCCTTGTTTGAGGGGGTTTCAATGGCGTCTAGCCTGGTCAACCACCTCCAAGAATCAGGGCAAAGAGAGAACAGAGTCAATGTCTCAATCTATACCGACGCCGCCGCCGCAATCGCTAGTAAGGAAGTGGACATGGTCCTCATTGGTGCGGATATCATTGACGGGTATGGGGCAACGAGCAACAAGACAGGCTCACTACCAGCAATTCTCTCTGCTAAGTACAGCTCACCTCAAGCTAAGGTATTCGTTCTGGCCGAAAGTGAGAAGATTCTGCCGTATGATCCACCTCCTTTCGAAGAGAATGATGTCAATGAGGTCGCCGCTTCGTGGAAGCACGACTACTTAGCACAACAGGATGCCTCGAAGGCCATCGATAGCTCGCTTGGGGCAGGCTCCGGCAAGGAGATGGCAAAAGCGAATGTCAGGAACGTGTACTTTGAATGGGTACCCTCAGGCCTCATCGACGGATACATGCTCGAGGACGGGGAGAAATGCTCGATTGATATTTCGGACATCGCCGAGCGGATACGCCGCGAAGCAGATGCGTTCTTCTCTGATGTTTAGGTATAACGTGGTTGCTCCGCAGACTATCATACTCAAAGGCCATATATAAACGTCCACTTCTTGTCAGCGTAACGCGTGTTGTCCAGCCGCTCTCTCTCGATCTCGTCTGCAGTCTTTTGTCTCATGATTTCCAATTTCCTTCGGTTGACCGCGGCGAGAGTCAATCTATACGAAAGGTATCCAAGTAACGAGACTGCAACAAACCCTAGGGTTACGTAGAACGGAATCTTGTAGCCTGGCTTGTAGCGATCGCGATATAGCTGGGCGCCGATGACGCCTGACAGATTCCCGAAACCGTTGAGACCGAGGATAAGGGAGCGTTTTCCGGGTTCTATGTGAGGGAAGTCAGCAATATTCTCTGATACTCCGCTTGCATCAAGTCCCCTAGCCATCTCCAGCTGCTTACCTGGGGTATTGCCGCTCAACCACGCGACTGTCAATGGAGCAGCAACGTAGCTACCGAGAAGAAGAACGCATAGCGCAGCGTACTTCCCGCCGTTCGATTCGACAGTAACGGTAGCTACCAGGCCTACGACCGCAATGACGATGCCCCCCAAGATGTGATAACCTCGTTCCTTGCTTGAAAGCTATCAGATCCAAACATGGCCCTATCGAGGCTCCTAGGGACCTACCGATAATCGGAGCTGAGAGTAAAGAGGTATAATCCGAGCGCACCACACGCGTATGGAGGAACAGACATCTGCACAATCTCTGTCAGTCCTTCTGTTCGCTCTTGTCTCTCAAATTTACTCCCCTTCTTACCAAATTTGCTTGAATTGACGAATATCCCAACCCCTGCACAACTAGTGGTAGGAAGACGGAGAAAGCCTGCCCAGGGACACTGGCGCAAATGTTGAATACCAGAACGTACCAGAACTTCCAATCTCTCAGAGTTTCAATGAAGTCCCGTTGGGTCAGACGATCTGTCTCTACTCCGTGGGCGTCATAGGCATGCTCGGTAAATGAAACGCTGTCGGCTTTGATCCTATCTGCAGCAAAGCGTCGTTCTTCATGGGTCAAAAACCATGCCGAGCCGGGACCTGCTGGAAGGAAGACCCAGGCGATGAGACCGAAAAGAATCGTCAGCGTTCCTTCAATGATGAAGAGGTATTGCCAATTTTTCAGGGGTCCATCTCTGAGGTGAAAAACACCGTATGCTATCCCCATGTCAGCATCTTTCTAAGGGTACGAACGGATGTCTTGATGGTCGTAGGTTTACCAATTGCCCCGGAAAATGCGCCAGCCACCGCATACTGTCCGTAGAATAAGCCAACTCTTACAGCAAGATCGTATCGGCAGTAAAAGAAAGAGAGGTAAGCGACTGCAGTCGGGTAGAAGCCGGCTTCGAAGGCACCTATCAGGAGACGAGTGGCGATCAAAGAACCTGGAGAACAGATTAAGCTCAGAGAACGTGCAAGACTCTTCGAAGAAAACAAACCTCTGCCCCTGATGAAGGCCTGACAGATGGTCACGAATCCCCAGCCAAGCTTTGTGGGTGGTCAGCATGCATTCATTTATCTTGTTGGCGTGGCGCTTGGACGAAACCTCCTTACCATCATAATCGGGATCCAGTGTTTGGCCCCAATCCATCGGCCAACAGCCGCAGAGGGAGGCTGAAACAAAACGAAAGTAATGAAAAACAGAGACACGGCGAGATTTAGATCGTCCGGCGCGGCGCCAATGTCGTTTGTAAATCCTGCTTCAGTTGTTAGTAATGTACGACATCGATGGACTTAGGCACACAGCTAGTCAAGCGCAAAGTATTCATGACCTTGGGTTTGAGCGTTTCCCACATTGCCCCTATCCAGACCATTGAATAGATACAACAGAGACAACAGCGGGAGAAGAGCAATGTCTAATTTTCTGTTCACTCGCCGGTCCATCGCAGTCTCGTCGACACTGTGGAGGTCATCATTTCCGTCGTGATCTCGCAAAGGTTTAGCCACTGAGACGTAAGATCTGGAGGCTCCCCCCTCAGTTTCGGCGCTCTGCGATTGGCCGTTGGATTTCATTTTTTCCCCTTCCTTTTCGAAATTTTCTCGGCGTGTTGGTCCTTGTTTTCCGAGGAATTGGTCTAGCAACTTGTCTTGGAAACCCCGGCTTCCGGCATTGCACTTCGACTTTCTTATATGGAGCGCTCTCATCGATAATCTGGCTGGTAAAAGTGCCGATCTGGCACGGTGAAGCTAGTTTGGCAGATTCCGAGCCTCATTAGTCTGTTCTGGTATGATGGAGCGATGATTTGTTGTCATGGTAGTAGGCATAGGCGGCAGCTGCAGTCATTCACTTCCGCTCCGGCCGTAAATTAGTGGCCAATGAGCTTGACCAGTAAGTAAATACACGAATGGTAGAAATTGGGTGGTGGCATTGACGAGAGAAGAGTAAGCCAGGTCAATGTATGCCGTTGGCGTTGACGTTATCTTATTTTTCCTTCGTCTTGAGTGGAGGGAATGTGAGCGATTCTGTGAGTGGAATGGGGGCCTCCTTGTCCACCACTCTTGCCAACTCCGGGGTCCGGTCTCCCGCATCGCGTCAGTCGATGCCCACTTCCGAAGTTAACGGCCAGCCCTCTCTATTCTTCGTACAGCACTTACCTTCCCACCAATCTCCTTGACCCTGTCATCTTTGATCTACCAAGGGTCTTGGCTCTTGCACGAGGCGGCCAGGTGTGTTTTCGGCCCCCAGCGGCACTTAGCGAGGACTGGGACCAGAACCTCAGCTTCGAAAGAGGGCATTAGGTTCACAGGATGTTTTCACTTCGGGCTCTCAATGGGCTAGGCCCAGACCGTTCTAGGGATAGTGGGACAGGGAGCGAGGGGAACCCAGGGAAAGGCAACGATGGATACTTTGGGAAGTGGAGGATCACATCAGTTCAACATTTGGCATCCATGGGTCAGGGTAGTGCTGGGACGGAGCGGGAGTTTCTTGGTTTAATAACTCAAAGTTCGACTGGTTGAGATGAAGATAGGGGATGGGAGGGGTAGCGGGGATGTTTCGATCAATGAATTCATTCAGAGGGAAGGATGATCCGCACCTAGCCGTCATACACAGGGGCTCGTTGGCTCTAGTGGGCAGTGGACTGGCTTGAGATGTGGAAAGTTTTCCAGGGTCACAATTCGATGCGTGGGCACAAGAAGTCAGGTGGTATCATCTGTATGCATGCTGAGCGGCATGCCGGCATGTCTAGGCAAGCTGACCCAACCCACACCACGAGCTGACAGTGCTAATGTGCAGCGCAAGATCGATTGCGGTGCCGACGGCCTGGGTCTAGAGAAGGTTCGTGTGATGTCGCACAGAGACGGTCAGCCCTGTTCTCTGTCCCAGATCCTAGCTTGTCGATTGGCGCTGCTCTGGGGTGTCTCACTCATATTTCCTAGGCTTGGTGGCTTCGTCTAGCTCATGATCTAAGCCAAATGCCAAGGGAGGCATTGTCTCTTCCAGGCCAAAAGCGAAACGCGTTTTCGTCCCTCCCGGGTGAGGTACCCAGGCCATTTGATTTCACGATGGACATAAGGTAGGAAAAAGCTGGAATGCTTCGGAGGTCTCATAACCAACACACTAGTCGCTTGACAGACTCCCTTGGGACCCAATACGCATCCGCGTTGCGGAGAGCATGCTTCCAGCTCAGCTATGAGAGGGAGCCACGGGTACCGGCCCCGGATTTCGACTAATCTCGCTCAAACGCCCTTCGTTCATTCTTCCGGACCGAGGCAAAAGTGTGGTCAAAGGGTCAAATTCTTAACTTCTTTCATCCAGGCTGTCCAAAGGGAGCAAAGAGCAGTCTGGTTTTAACAACATGAATGTCCATGCTGATTGAGTCAAGGTTCTTGTTCTTCTGCTTTTCCGTTTCTCGGAGAATCGTTTCTATCTTTTCAAGCGAAGCCGTATGATCCGTCCTTTATGTCGCGTTGGTTGAGTAACACACGTGTCATGAAGTCCCCCCCAGTCGACGATCCACGCAGTATGTATAGAGTATGGGTCTCTCCTCGAATAACATTCACCACCCCCTGAGAGAAGTCCTCCCCTTGTCCAAAGACGCGAGAGCGCCTCATGTTCGGAAGGCCGGGTCTTGTTGGTTGGGGCTGTTGGAACTGTGTAACCTCGGCCTCCTGAACGTAATGCACCGGGATGTCGGGGTTGTTCCGATGCCCTGACAAGACGGAAACAGAATCCTGTTTTGGAAGGATGGCAGACACGAGAGTCTTTCCCGTTGGTTTTCCATGTACATTGACGCAATGTCCTTCTTGATTATTTCAGCAAGAACCAAGTGTCCCCCATCGTGTGTTCCCGTTTTTGGATCTGTTGGTCCGGTTCTTTTGTACTGTGATTTTTGGCGGCTTGCGCGGCGTAACACGTACAGACCTCGAGATAGTGCCCTGGTCATACAGCCATGACGTATATCATCAGGTTGAAATCTACTTGTCTGTTGAAAGACAGGCCATCCCTTCACATCGTGTTTCCCAGGTTTTGCACATCATGTCGCAAGCGCTTTTCTTCCAATCTTGCCCTCTATTGCGTGTGCCCTTTTGCGTGGCTTGGTCCACCCAGCCTACGCTGTCCACAGTATCAGCGGATTGACGTCGTGACAAAGGCTGGCCCCTTCCATGCTCGGAATCTCAACGTGTTTCTATTCCAGAGAAACTACCTTGGCATTGAGCGAAATTAAGCCCCAGAAATTCATGGGTTCTCTGAGTTAGTTGGCCAATAATTCACGCTTGGAAGGTACTTATGGTTGTGAGAAACACTCTCCGGATCGAAACTGAGCACTTAGCCCGTGGCTTCCCCGAATTTCAGCGCGCTGCCTTTTACACCTCTGTCCGCCATTCGAGAAAGTCTTTGTTGTTCCAATTTGCCTCTACCCTTTTACCTCTACTTCAGCTTTGAGAAATCTCTTTTCTGGCTAGGAGAAGACGGAATAGAAGAACCGATCATCATAATGAAGTCAGATTGATTTAATATAATGTGGTCTTCGAAACAGCGAGGTTGTAGTAGCTCTACGTAATTGCTGGTCTAATTTCAACTCGGCCTCTGTTGTGCATCCCTTCTTGTCTCTTCTGGTCTGATTACTGGGCAGCTCCGCAACAAGGTCCA